ATTTTTTAAACATAAGTCATTTTAGATAGACTTTTACTAAAATGTTTAAATTTGTCTGATCTTTTGACAGCTGAAATATAATAATGAATGCCTTCTAAACTGATTCCAATATTGCGATTTTTTGCCTTTTTCATGATATATCGGTTTTTTGTAGTGAACTTCAGTAAAAAAAAACAATAAAATTTTCGATATTTGATTTGGTGAAAGAAAAAGCAAAGAAACATATTGTTGTTTACAGCATCCCCGCAAGTAAAGTTGGCAATAACAACAATACGTCAAATTAAAAGAGGAAATTAGGCTATTTTGCATGCATTTGTTAAAATGGACCAAATGTCATAGGAAGATAGAACATTTTCGCGAAAAAAACTAATACACTCGGATTTTTATTACAAAATAAATAATATGACTCGCAAACCGCAAATAGGTTGTTGAAGGAAATATTATGAGCAAAAATCTAAAAAGTGGAGAAGAGGAAATGGCGGGCTTGGGTTCCCCTTAGAATATAAACCACCAACAATTTACTTTTTTCAGCATTGATTAATAATAAAAAAATATGAAAAAATTTTGTTCAGTGTTACTATAATCGTGTTCGACTGTAGTAAGCATGGTTTTATCTCACTTTAAGGAGTATAAATGGGTACTTAATTAATCATTATTAATGCATTCTGTGAAAACATACAACATTATAATAATCATTCCTTTAAATATCTAATCGCGGGGTCGAATTTTTTTAACTTATTACCCTAATCGTTTTCAATCATTTGTTGTGTATAAGAAAACTAATGAAAATATCTGAGAAAGAATCAGCTTTGTTCGTTATATGTGTAGTTGCTTATAACCGTTGTTCGTTATATCCGGTTTCTACTGTAGAAATATGCGTTTTCTCTTTCTTGTACATATTGTTATGAATATAACTTTAGATTTAAGTTAATTTAGATGAATTCCGTTAATTTAAGAATTTGAATTGTAACGTAAATTTCTACTACGCAGTTTGTTCGAATAACTTCACAACAACAACTACTGTATAGATTTTTCTACATCCTTCCATTTCCTCTTTCATTGTCTATTTTGTTGTTGACGTACAATTCTTGTTGAACGTCATAATTGATGATCGCTTAATTCCTCTTTCTTTGTTACTCCCTCGCCTGTATATGTGTTGTTGTTATTGCTCATTCAATGTAAGTGTGTATGTGTTTGTTGCATTGGTAGATTGTTCAGATGCTACCAGATTGTTCGTAATCTAGATGTTACCAGATGGTCTAGAAACTTCTGTAGCGACAGGCAAGGCTCATATAAATAGAGGAAATGGCAAGGCAGTTAGTCAGTTGTGAATCAGTTCGCGAATTGAAACCGTCAAGTAACGTAAAGCTGTAAAGTAACGTGCAAAGTAAAGTTGTGTCAATAAAATCATTGTAATAATCGTAATCAGAAAGAACCCGCGTTTTATTTAGTACGAACTGTACTGGGAAATAAAACAACGTCTACACGGGATTAAGTAAAATCCAAGAACGTAACAATATAAATCATTTAAAAAGTCAAAAAATCGTTTAACACCGCTGTTATTAATTTTTGCCTCAAAAACAAGGCAAATTACCTATAGTGAATTGGTGAGAGGGTTATCGTATGATATAACCTAAGGAACAGAGCGAGATTTATGAAGTATTGGATCGGATAGTTTATACAAATGTGTTGGAAAACGCATTGGCCCCCTTCGCTGAAGAAAATATACTGCTTGTTTGGGTGTTTCAGTTTGACAATAACCTCAAACACACATCGAAAAATGCCAATGGTAGGTTGCGAGCACAGCACAATCACCCTATGAAAAAACTTCTTTCCAAAGGTTCAGAATGTGAGGTATAGTATACGCAAGGATCAATTTGAGTAACTTATAGATTTAATGCTTCGTAGTCATCAAAAATAATGGTTATGCTGTCGATTACTAACAAAATATTCATATTTATAAAAAATGCAACAAGTTGCATTATTTTTGACCAGGCAAAAATTGTATTTTTGTTTGGGTTTCTGTAGATAATTGCTACTTTCACTAGGTTTCCTTGTCAAGTTAATGAGATGTAGATGTATTATTCATGGCCAGCAATTGTTATCGAAATTGTTAAAATGTTATGTGTTTTATTTTATAAGTGAAGGATTTTCATATTATTTTGTATGTGCTTGAATTAGATTGTCTAAAAATATTAATTCTATGCAACAGTTTTTGTTGCTGTTAAAAATAAGTTGCATCTACCTTTTATATGTGAATTGTGTACTGTCTAATATATAATTATTTAGCGCGTTCGTGTACAAAATTAATTTTAAAATAAAATGGATCCTTTATAATTTTTATTAAAATGTTAATAAACATTATCAATGCTAATAAAATTAGTAAACACATGTTAATACAATTCTCCAGAACAATCAGCATCGTGCAAGAAATAGTTTTTAACAAGCTGCGAATTGATTTTATTTTAGTAATTTGCTTTGGTTTACAAAAACCAAGCAATGATATGAAGATCACGAATACAAAATGCCATGATACATTTGTTTGGAAGCATTGTTGTTGGCTTTGAGGTACATTTTAAAATCTAATGAATTTTTATAAAATGTAAATTATATTAAAGGAGATTCCGGTTATCCTCTTGACCACGGTGCTCAACTCTATACAGAAAGTTCACTAAAATTCAATCTTCTGACAGGAGATGGAGAATTTTGCGCCAACAAAAACATAATGGAAAAAAAGGGCACAATTTGGAAATGTCTGCGCGGCATTACATAATATATGTTTGATGTTTAAGATCCACGGGTAAACCGAACCCGATTTCATTTTCATTTCAATAGAGTAAGCGAATTTAATTATGTTATTCCTAATGTTTCTTTGGTATTTTAAATATTGGCATATACTTACATTAACCACCACTTCGCTCTAACAGTTAAATGGGCATGTTTATTTGATTAAATTGGCTTTATTAATAAATATTTTAGTAAATAAATGTACATGGCTGCTGGTTAGTAATGTGGAATCGATTATATATATCCTTAGTAAACATGTAGTATGTCCTACATTCGTATATAAACAATCCTGCTAATACAGTGTGAACTAAACAATGTTATAGAATAGATAGAATAGATTTAATTTACAACGATGACAAAAACCATTAATTATTGACTTTGTTTAAAATATATTGTTGATAATATATTTAGTTTCTGTAATATTGCTTTTTGGTTAGTGAAACGAATGTGTATGTATATATAGTGAAATTATTGTACGTATATATATAAATATATATATATATACTGACATGCTCTTGACAGTGATTGGTGACAGTGCTCATATTATAGTTCGAACTGTAAATATGTCCACAACTTCTGCGGATATTTTAATAAAACTGAATAAACTTTTTAAATAGTTTCAACATACATGTTTCACGTCTACATACTAATCAACAAATGTTTATTAAACCCTTGGGGTTATTTACTTCGAATAACATTCACACATAGAATGTCGTTTTCTTTAGTTTAATGCATTGTAACTAATTCTTAATTTTTCAGTACCTGTATTAACTTACAAATTGACTAACTTAATAAGTGTGTATGTTTCAAACGGAATCTCAAGTTTATTTTTGGGAAGTGTTTCTTATGTTTCTCATATTCAAATAATGTTTCACATTATTCCATACGATACTTACAAATATATATATTTAATAATTTTAATTAAGATTAAACTTTACGAGCGGCTAATAAATTGTATTGAATCAAATTGATTAAAACATTTTTAAATTAAGTTGGTTTTTAAAGTAATGTAGCGTGTTTTGTTTCTGTTGCCCACTTACACACTTTGTCTGCAGAACTTGTTTCCAAACATTGTAAATTCTAGCTCACCAAGTTTGTGCAACGAATATTCGTTCGTTCGTTTCAATTGTAAATTTACAAAAAAATATTATTTTTGAAGCGTCGCTGAAAACTGCAAATCATAATGTTTTAAGTATGGAACATGGTACAACGCAAAATATCCTACGCATACCAACTAAAATTAAAAGATAAAAAGCGCATAATAGACAATATAATTTGATTATATAATGTTTATATTTTTATAAATAATTTAAATATATATTTATATATAGATTTAGTATAATAGTGTAAACAATAGTTGAATTACACTAAATTAACTATGAAATATACAGCAAAAAAACTAAAGCTAGTAAATTTCTAATTCGTTCAAATTCTCTGATAAATCAACAATAGTGTTTAATCTGCGTTTTACTTTCCTTAATCAGAGATCAAAAACTAAAAATATGTTATATCATATTATTTATCAATAATTTGTATAATTGTTCTAGTAGTCTGGATATGTTCATATTAAAAATTTATCAACTTTTTCGCTAAGCTAATAATGTAGTGATTAACATACATTTGACAAATTTATAAGCTATAATTATTATAATCGTAATGCTTATGTCAACACTTTGGCTGCGATATAATTATACACAATACATAAACTTGAATGTACTTTGTATAGATGCCACTTGTGTGACTGATTTTCTTAAAAAGCAAAGTGGATTCTACAAAAGAAGCCCGTTTGGCTCATTTTTTAATCGGTAACCGTTGTCGAGGACAACCGAGGCATTATGCCTAACAAAAAATATAATTCATTCTGACGAAAAACACACATATTTATATATAATAAGATAACCTATGAATAGATTTTCAGTACAGTACAATTGGAAGGAAAATTATAACCCCCGAGAAACAACAAATATAATAAAGAAAAATTCGATTGGAAATTGTAAAATACGCAACAACAGAGGTATAGAGGGTAATTGGGTCTCGTACGAGTTGGGCACATTCAATTGATGTGGTAGAATAGTACGAAAAATGTGGACAACATATACAAGTACCGGAGGACCGAAAGATTATTATGCACAGCCGATAAATTGGTATATAACTTCATTTGGGAGACAATTCTGAGGCCACAGAGGCTTTGTTGCCTATCGACAAGACAAACTTGCTATAAAATAATTTCTGTAGAACGCCGTTCTTGAGCCGCACTTAATAATGGGTCGCAGCTGAACGGCTCACCAATCAATGGAGAAAATTTGGGATTACGCTTTAAACGACCACTGTTGGGTGCTGAGGTTGTGGTTGTCGTTGTAGTTACAACGCTAGACCCATTGCTGCCACAAAGCGCAGTTATGGCCGACAGTGATTGAACTGATGAAGGCTGCTGCGACGACTTGGGTTCCAACAATTGGGATTTGGGGACTTGCATGTTAAGTGGCGGGAATTTCGCTATAGTTACTATGGAAGTCAGAGTTGCGGAAGAACTGTCATTACTGCCGACACTCAGATCTTGTGGATGTGTAGGTAAACGTAACTGTTGCTTCCTTCTGGCCAACGCTGATATGCCTTCGTCAGTTGGCTGCGATGTCTCATGCAGTATAGCAGATTGACGTATAGTCTGTTGTAGCAACGAATTCACATCAATCGCTGGCCATGTGACCAGCGAAACGCTTCGTCATAAATATGAGTCCCTAGGCGATTCAGAGCGTTTGTGGCGATGGTGTTTTCCGAAATGTTTGCAAGGTTTACGTGATTTTTTGGCATGGTCTTCGACGTCATGTTTATGACCCGTAACATCTACTCGTCCTTTATCATCTGTTTTTTGCAAAATGACTGCCTGCCTAGGTGATTTGTTTGGTGTGGCATGTGACTGTGGCTGACTAGACGACAAAGAGTAATAGTCGGCTGAATGACTTTGAGAAGACGTGTCATCAGTCAAAGGCTGGCTTATACTCCTCATAGTGACGTCACCTTCTTCGCCGACAGGCGTTGACACGGCGGATGAGGGATTTGTCAAAGGTGTCAAGGTACTAGAATGTTGTTCATCGCCATCCATGCAACCGACTTTACCAGAAGAAGAAGTGTGTATGGTTACATCCTGTGCCGTACACATTTGGCCAGTAGTCGAATCTTCGACGCAACAACAGGGCGCGTTGGAAGTGCACGAACAAAAACTGGTAGTAATGCTACTTCGACGACTGGTATGAGCCGAGCTATCGGTGGTGTCTTGGATCAACGGTTGAGGAAGAACTTCATCTCCAATGAAAGGGTTATCATTACCTGGATAGTCAATGATTGATGCAACAGAATGTCTTTTAGCACTGCAGCGGTGGCAATCTGCGGATACTGTAAACGACTGCTTATTCGATGCGATTCCGGGCCATTCCTCGAAACTACTACAGCTACTCGTATGGACATGTGAACACGAACAGCTGGAACATCTTGAGCAACTACTACAGCAATCATCGGTAGAAATAAAACGCTTGCGCATTATTTTCACGCATTCGTTTTTAGGTTCACCTACCGAGCGTGCTATAACGTTTGAGCCGCCTTCATACGAATGCCAATAACCGCACTGACATCTATATTTTCGGTGAAGATAGTTGTCTTCAGTTTCCTCATTAGAAAACTCATCAGTTTCTGCGGTCGTGTTGGAGTTGACCGAATACCGCCTTTTCAAACGACTGACAACAACCCTGCTATCTTCATCGGAGTCCGCATGAATGGGAGCACGAATAATCGGAACGACAGCGGTGTCCGTGGCTACTTTGAATGCAAAATTTGATGTAGCCGTCGTACTGTTATCTTCGGTCATTGTTGCAGCATCTATTTCTATTGCTATTTCATGCAATGCTGTTGAAGAAGACAAATGGAGGGTATGATGATTTCGGGGATCGTCACTAGAATCGGAAGACTTGGTACAGATATTTGGAAGGTGATCCGTAGAAGAGCAGTGTAACCGATGTGCCGTTTGTGGATGTTTTATACGATGACTACCACGCGATCGATTGGCATCCGAAAATCTCTTGTGCTTGCGACGGACACCACACTCCTTTATGCACAATGGAGGCCACTGATTGCTAAAGTCTCCGTGATTTTTATGGCCTGTCGAATGTGAACTACGACTACGATGCTGACACGACCTGCCGCAGCAATGGGAGGCAGTGGCGGGTAAACGATGGCAGTGACAGGCTTGTTCTTGGACATTTGGACAATAACTAGATGTTGGTGATCTTCCGAACCAGGTGTTGTTGCAATAGCAGTGTCCTATATTGTTGCTTTGATATGGCGGACGTTTTTCCCAATTTATTAAGGATGTTGGTGTTTGTGTGGCATTATGTCGTTTCCGTGGCTCACCACACGTATTATTAGATTTGAATTGTTTTGTGCACGAGCAAGAGCACAATGGGTCAACTTTGGAATCTAAGCCTTCCTGAGATGATTTTTTTGAAACTTCGTGTATAATTACAACATTTAGTTTGTTGCCATGTTCGCTGGTCTGTTCGACCTCGTTTCGTTGACATACGTTATTGCTGTCGGAAACGCTTCCTCCGACTTTTTTTCGTCCTAAAGTGTTATTGTTGTGGTATTGAAATGCACGATTGTCGTGGTAATTTTTGTATTCATCGTCTGCATGGGCTGTCAAAAGGTGGTCGTCGCCACTCCCACTGCTAGTTACGGTGTTGTGTATGGATTGACTAATACTGTCGGCTGAAATGTTGTTGGTATTAGATATTTGTTCTTGTATTTGTTGTTGCTGTTGTTGTTCTTCGGGGGCAAACTGCTAATCTCCACGATGGACATCGCGAGGTTTAGAATTGTGGCGATATATCCACACTTGCATGAGTATAGCCAAATCTAAACTAACCTGCAAATAAAATAGATTTTTGTACATAATTCAGAAGTATATATAGGTGTGAAGGCTAAGTTGCAGGTATTCCTTAACAGCAACCGTTTTTAAAAATAGCTAACCTGCAGTGTTCCGCATATCCAAAACTGGGACGGCGCTTTCCTAGCTATAAAATAACCAGTCTTAAACATATCACCAAGTGTCCACATAAGAACCATATGAATGCTCATGCCGTACGTTGACTTGTTTTTGAAATTTCGGATAAACTGCGGAGCTCCTAAAATACCACAAATACAGTATACAAAATTATGTACAAATGTCAAAACGGATAAAAATATACCTAGCATGGCTTCAGTAAATACAGCTACAAATCCAACAATCTCCATAAACCAATCCACGGAAAGCATTAGGTACGTTATAGCGGCACCAACTGCCCAAACAACCAACATAAAATCCAAATATGACTGGAAGTCAGTCCAGTTCCAAAAGTATTTAAGGTCGAGGTCTAAAAAAGAAGTTAGTGAAAATCATACCTTCGATATAATTACTGTGCAGATGTGTGTACATACACTAATTTAATGAGTAAATTTAAAGAATATTGGTAAGTGAGTGAGAATTGTTCAATTTTTTGAAACATATAGTTATTTCCTTCTTAAATTTGTAACGATTTGTTTGATATTGAATGTTTAGATATATGCCCCGTTTTAAATAAATATAACATCAAAATTGAAGTACTCACCACTTAAATAATGTCGTGAACGTGCACGTTTTAAAGGACCTGCTTCCGTTGATATAGAAACTGATCCCGCCGTGTCAGTATCGGTAATCATAGTCTTTGGCAAACGGAGGTCATCATTTGCTGCAAAAAATGCTTTGTTGAATACAAAAACTAAATTGTTTAAAATATCATTGAAAACACAAACCTGACAAGTTTCGTTCTCTGGCATTAGCATTAACTCGTTTAACTTTCACACACAAATGTATCATTAGGAACATAGTCACATTCATAACTACGCTTTGCACAAGAAGCGGAAGCTCATAACGCTTTGAGAACCTAAAGTGAATAGATGAGAAGAAGAATAGAATCAAATAGGTAAAACATATTTGGGTTAATATTCGTTTCCCCACAAAATGAGTCAATTTTTGTAGGAGTGTACGATTAAATACTTAGATACTAACGCGTGATTACTCACAATTGTATCTGACAATCGTGAATAATCACCAGACAAAAAATCTGTAGTAAAATAATGTTTGAAATAAAATTACAGATTTTATTGTCGCTAAGTTGTATTGAAACCCCATGTAAATGATTCAAGGATTTGCGATATAAAACCTTTATGGGTTTTGGGACCTACTAATAATGGTGGGTATGGAATTGTTGGCGCATACAAAAATTGTTGTAAAGTCGCCGTATTAGAAAAGAGAGTCATAAAACTAAAAATATGAGACTTTTACGATAAATAACATAACAAATCCAGGTTTAAGTGAAAACAACCAATGAATGGCCTTTCTCGAATTCCACCTATATTTGATCAACATTAAAATATTATATTTTATTTTTGACGGAACTCATTTTGGGTGTTTTTTTTAACAGAAAAAGTAAAAATAACAAAAATAAAACTCCTGAAATGATTTTTATTTTTGACGGAAAAATAAAACTCCCAAAAATTTTTTTATATTGGACAAAAAAAAAAAAAAAACCGCAAAAAGAGTTTTTTTTTTTTTGACGGAAAAAAATAAAATCCCTAAAAGAGTTTTATTTTTGACGGAAAAAATAAAACTCCCCAAATGAGTTTTATTTTTAACAGAAAAAGTAAAAATAGTAAAAATAAAACTCCTGAAATGATTTTATTTTTGACGGAAAAATAAAACTCCCAAAATTTTTTTTATATTTGACAAAAAACAAAAACGTAAAAAGAGTTTTTTTACGGAAAAAATTAAAATCCCTTTGCACATTGTAATACTTCTTCCAAATCTAAATCAACAGCACCACTCATATAAAATCTCTACATTTTTTACAACTACGAAGCTTGTTGAGTATCCAATTTGTCCTTGACACAAAGTAATAATTTTTACCAAATGTGTACCATATCCGCAGATGAAGCCTGTCGGTCCACTCCTTCTGGCTATGCTCTAAAGAGTTTAAAACGTTTAAAATTAAAAAAGTTGCATTCCGAAAGTAGGTTCTATGGATCCACTCCCTCAGGGCACCCTTCCACAAATTGTCAACATCTCGACTTTTTCTCACTTTTTAGTTCTTAGTTTCATAGTCCATGTGATACTTCATTGTTGCTTAGGCCTGCTATGACCAATAAATTTCAAGAAAAGTGTAAAAGTTAATCGCATTTGTATTCACATTTACTTTAAGAAATGAGGAATACCATAACCACTTAGAAGTGATCTACGTAATTTTGACCAACGTTCATCAGTGTCTATTGATTTGATCTGGAAAGCTTTTTCTCCTGCTTAATTGCACTTCATTCTCAATTGTGATAATGCTTTCTGTTGTGTAGATGTGATTTAACACGCACGCAAAGAAAATAATCACGTTTAACTATTTGTGGAGAAATTCGCGAATTTTAAGAAATAAGATTTGCGCAACATTCGAATTTGTGAACGCGAACTGATTTTGTTAATTGAAGCCCAAATATCATATCGGAATAGTTTTTTGTTGTGAATAAATTGCAATATTGTAGACTTCTATAATACCAGTAGCATGGCATAATTGCAGAAGGTAGTATCATTTGAGAAATTAAAAATGGTAACCCTTTTTAATTTGGAAATCATCTATCAATTTCAAATTGTTTAAAAAAATGAATTCCATAAAATTTTATGCATGTCGAATGGCATATTTTTTAAAAAATTAAAAATGTATACTTTCAGTAAATAAATATCTCATGTTTTTATTAATATTGCTCTTAAGATATAACTATATAGTCGACTCCGCTTTACTGGAACAGAAAAAAAATCTTGAAGTTTTGTTTCAGTTATCCGATGTTTTCACTTAAGCGGAGCTCGGTTAAATTAAAATAATTTCAATTATCCGAACTTCTCATAAGGGAAACATTTTCAAGTGAGGTTGTAAATGAGTAACATTCTTCCTTGCAAAATTTGTTCATTAGAGTTATATATATATATATATATATATATATTTTTTTTTTTTTTTAATTTTCCAAAGGTTTTTAAAAGCTTGGCCGAACGAACTTAACGTTCTTCGACGTCAAATTTATATATATACATGAAAAATCAATAATTGCAGAAAAATGACTGTTAGGATGGGCTTTGAAGATGTGTATTCCTCAATGTAAAATATTCTGTCATTATGCTTCATTCTCAGTAATACGGAGTGATTTGAAAAGAAATTGGAATATTTGACCAAAAAGCTATTTCAGTTATCCGATATTTTCAGTTATGCGAAGTTTCACTTGTGCGGAGTAAATTGTGGGCGATGAACATAAAATGTAATGGTGCAGGAAATATATTCCTCTTATCCGACATTTTTAGTTAAGCTACTTACAGTAAAGCGGAGCCGACTGTATATGTTACAAAATATATTTATAAATTATAAAGGCTGGAAACTTCAAGATAATAAAAATTTTGTAATTATTACCACTGTGCGAACATTTCGAAGGAGGATATTTTCATATAATTTTTGAAAGCTGAATGTTGTCAAAAGTAAAATTATGAAAAAATTGGAATCATATGTCTGCTTCGGCTGTGATTTTTCAAAACATTTCACTTAAAAGTAGAGTAAAATTGTTTTTATTTATAATTCTATATTTAAATACATACATATTTTTGTTCTTTTTATTTCAAAATTTTTCATTTTAGTTAATAATAGTTATTTATCAATAAAAGAAAGCCCTTTTTAGCATAGTGTTGCTACGTATTGTTTTCATGAAATCCACTCTTCTTCAAAAAAATGAACAATCTGGCATTACGATTATACTAAAGAAAAGTTGAAAAAAGAAACAAAAACATTTAATAGCTGTTTTTACAAAGCTGTGGGTACAAATGGAGGAAAAATCTTATTATTGTGTCAAAAAGTATTAGTAGTACTACGAGGCAGTTCGGAAACTTCTTAGCCTAGCACAAAAAGGGCGGTATAAACAGAAAAAAGTTAATTGTTTTGGAAACTTCCATCTCTGTTATGAACACATGTTTAATTTTGTTTCGATCTGGCAATTCCTTCATATAGAGAAGAGGTGTTCAAACTTCCATCTCTGTTACGAACACATGTTTAATTTTGTTTCGATCTGGCAATTCCTTCATATAGAGAAGAGGTGTTCAAAAAAGACGCACCCACATTTTTTTACAATGGATAGATTTGAAATGCGTGCTTTTATTAAATATTTCGGGACGCGGGGTACGATTTAAATACGCTCTTTCTCACGAATGCTCACGGCGAGAATTCAAATGTTTTCAATTTATCGCGAATGATAAAGTTACAATGAATGAACAAGCATTTGCAATCTCTCGCGAATGTTCGCATTGTACGGAAAATTCACGAACGATAAAATTTCGTTCTTTCGCTAGCATTTGTTGCTGAAGAGCATTCTTTTGAAAAACTCAAAAAACAAATATTCACGAATGCTCGCGAGCACAGTTTAAAACAACAACAAACAAACTTATCATAAACAAGTGAAAAAGCGTTAAGTTCGGCCGGGCCGAACTTTGTATACCCTCCACCATAGATATACTGACAGGTACTAGAAATGAAAATAAAGGAAACATACCAAAAAGTGGACCTATACCGACATGTCTAAAATCGGATTATGTAAACCATAATACAAATTTCAGAATTTTTTAATTGATAATTCAAATTCGAAGATGGGGAATATCGGTCCACTCCTTCTGAAACCTCCACAGATGCTAGGTCTAAATGCGACTATAGTTCATTATCGAACCTTACGTTTTAATTTTTTACCTCGCTATCCTCTGCAGGTGAAATGATTACACTAGAGTCTTAGAACCAAACTCAAAACGCGGAACATATCAGATAACTATATTAATATAAAAAAGGGGGTTATATGGGGACTACCCCAAAAAGGGGGCGAATATTAATAATTTTTGGTAGAGAGATTTGGTACCTATTAAGAACTCAAAATACTAAATTACAGCTAATTCGGCGGAAAAATACGATCAAAACCCCCAAAATTCTAAAAATTGGGAGGTACCATTATATAGGGGCTACCAGAAAAAGTGGACCTATATTTATAATTTTTTGTGGAGACATTAAGGACCCAATAAGAACCCAATGTAGCAAAGTTCAGCGAAAAACGTGCTCAAGAACCCCAAAATACCGAAAATTGGGGGGTACCCTTATATGGGGGCTACCCGAAAAAATTGACCTATATACATAATTTTTTTTAGAGAGGTTTGGTACCTATTAAGAACTCAAAACACTAAATTACAGCCAATTCGGCGGAAAAATACGACCAAAACCCCCAAAATACTGAAAATTAGGAGGTTCCGTTATATGGGGGCTACCAGAAAATATGGACCTATACTTATAATTTTTTGTGGAGACATTTAGTATCCAATAAGAACCCAATGTACCAAATTTCAGCGAATTCGGCTGAAAAAGGCGCTCAAGAACCCTAAAATACCGAAATTTGCCGGGTACCCTTATATGGGAGCTATGCCTAAACGTGGACCGATATATCCCATCTTCGAACTTGACCTGCCTGCAGACAAAAGACAACCCTATGCAAAATTTCAGCACCCTATCTCAATTCCTTCAGAAGATAGCGTGATTACAACAGACGGACGGACGGACAGACCCTGATCATGAATATATATACTTTATAGGGTCGGAAATGAATATTTCGAGGAGTTACAAACGGAATGACAAAATTAATATACCCTCCATACTATGGTGGAGGGTATAAAAAGTAAACACACACAGCGAATGAATGTGTGTGTGGCAGAAAGTGTTGAGCAAGTGTGGAATAACAAAACACACACCCAACAACTATAGAGTGAGCCTTCGTGAGAATTAGCGAATGTTTGTTTTCATTCGAGAGCGAATGTCAGAAAGAATTTCAACGGCCA